GTTTACCATATCCGTTGTACAATGAGCAACAACAACAGGAAACGCTACTAGTTCTGCTAACACAACAACAACAGCAGCGGCAGCAGCAAGGATGATGAACATCGGTGGGGACAATAATGACAGACATTACAAACAGAGCTTTTAAAATGAGTTAGGATCGAGGTAAAGACAATTGTACAAGATGTAATATTTAATTTGTTCACTTAGTTATACGTATGTGTGTGTGTGCACACATCGAGAGAGAGGTATGTGCTCACGTACATGCATACACACATATGTGCAAAGAGTGACAAATCTACACGGTATTATATGTGTTAAGGTGTATACATTACTGTATTGCTTTAAGACTTCTAAGCTGCTTTGTGCAGTGGCTCTAAGAACACGTTGAAAGGTATCAGTCGGTTTTCCGGTAAATGTATACCCACAGCATACGACCAATTAGGCGATTCGGTTAATATACCACCGAATGAGATTTCTTCTTCAACTCAATATTTTGTTCAAGATTTGACATTTTCAAGATTTTGGACCCATTATCGCGTTTCGTTTTTCGGAAACTAATTTCACAATTATAAATTGTGTCTTTCGGTGTGGAGGTATCAGAAAGAGATGACCGATAATTTACATTTTCGCAACCCGTCTAAACTTGATCCAAAACAAGTAAAATAGTATCAGTAGGTTTTGCCGACAGACTATATCGAGTACTTCTTGTACTTTATATGAGATATGTGCAAATTTTCGGAAAATGGAAATATGCGTCAGGTAACAGATATAGCGGACCGAAATATTCCATTTCATACTTCATCTAATACAGATAAAATATATTGGGATGTGCAAAATTTGAAGGAAATCGAACATTCGTATCCAATTTTATGCGAAATCATAAATTCCGACAAATTACGTATTCATATCAGAATACAGGGTTGCCCATATTCGACGGACCCATCTGGCAACGCCATAACTTTTGACAGAGATGTCACATCGCTTAATGACATACCGCGTTTGAAGCGTCAGTCCAGGCAGATTTTTACCATTTTTACCAATACACGCCACGCGAACGCTCTGAAATAGTTGAAATTTACATTCAACAGAAGAAGTCAATTGTGAAAACTCAACGTGCTTTTAAAACATTAGAAAATGTGAGAAGTGCGCCTTCTAAGAACACCATTTTCGACTGAAGAGGCCATATAAAAGTCGACCAAGGCGATCGGCCGAGAATATCGCTGCCGTACGAGCCACTGTTGAGAGGTCCTCAAGAACATCCCAAAAACGCCGTTCTCAGCAGTTGGGCATGGCTCGGTCCACTTTACAACAGATTATTCGCATTGATTTGCATTTGTTCCCGTACAAAATTCAAAATTCAATTGACGCCTGCGGACAAGCCTCGTCGATTGCAATGGGCCCAAAGAGTCATGGGTCCGTCGAATATGGGCAACCCTGTACTGTTTTAGAGAAATATTTAGATATAGCAAGTTGTAAAGAATAGCCGACTTGTTTCGCAAGTTATGACAGTTATAAGTTGGCAGATGTATATCATCTTCACAACAGATCTTGTGTTAGAAATAATGTCTGTATGTGGGAAATTTGAGGAGATGGATGGATGCATTTGGATGCATTTTTCGAATTCCTTGAGCGTTTTGTTTTTAAAAATCTTGAACCCTATGTGGGGAGATACCAGAAAAAATTGTCCGATCTCTACCATCTTTGCAACAGATCTTGTGTTGATAAAATTATTGAGAAGCTACAAGTCTGAATAGAATCTGATATTAATTTTCCTTTTTATGACCTTCATGGATACTCAAAATTTTGACCCTTTGTGGGGGAGGTAGAAATAATGGGACGTGTGTAATATGAAGAGAACCGGGTGTTTATTTCGAATTCTTTGCTCGTTTTGGTTAGTCAAAACATAGGTGTGGGTGAACCAGATCGAATGGTCCCATCTCCAACATCTTTATAAAAGATCTTGCGTTTATGTATTTATGAAATTATTGAGATGTGCCAAGTCTGAATGGAATCGGATGTTAATTTAGTGCTTTAAAAGCTTAATGGATATTCAGAATTTCGACCTTTTGTGGGGGATGGAGTGGACCGATATTATCCATTTTTGCACCTGACATAGAACTGACGTAAATATCAGGATTTGCAAAGTTGGAAAAAATCGGATTATTGTTTCTCTTTCTGTGCAAAATATATATTTTTTTGAAAATCTCGATAATTTGTGTGGGAGGTACCAGTAGGAGTGGACCGATAATGTCCATTTTCACACTTTACCTAGCAATGACGCAAATATTAAGATTTGCAAAAATGGAGTAAAATCGGATTATCGTTTCTCTTTCTGTGCAGAAAATATATTTTTTTTTGAAATTTCGATTTTTTGTGGGGGAGGTACCATCTCCGAACTCGATCTAAGTTTGACGATGTACTATGTTTGAACCAAATCGGATAATCCCTTCGAGAGTTATAGTGCGCACCACCAAAAAGATTTATATTAATATGCTATAAGGGTTCACATTTGGTATAAATCACATGTAACGATATCTCCAGATTTTCGGTACCTTAAATGTTTCATTTCCAACCAAATAAAATAAAACTTGACAATTAAGGATATCGATAGGTCTGTTCTCTTCCTGCAAAAACGGTTTGATTCTGGTCCATTAATTTATATAGTCCCTTATAAGGTACCTATGAAAACTGAAATTTAACATTTTGGTGTTCTTCAGGTCTGTTCTTTCTTCATGTCCACTAATTGGTATAGTCCCCACACAACAATACCTACAGATTTTCGGTATTTTGTAAGTTTCTGCCACAATTTCCAACCAAATTAGATGCTAACATGGGTTTCACTGTTTTGGTTATTATAGAGGTAAGGATATTATGTCTTTGTGTATTTGTTTGTAACATGGATATAGAAGCGAGATATACCTATACAGGGTAAGATGGAAAAACTGCAACCAACTTCAGACTGCTGTCATTTCTAAGCCACACGTCCGACAGCTGTTAAAAGTATTCCAATGACAGCTCATTATATTGTTTACAAGCGTAAAAGAGCATTTTGGTGAGAATTTTGCAGAAAAAAGTTATTATATTTAGCTGGAAAACCACTAGTGGCTAGCGTTAGAGCACTCCAGCATTTAAATGTGAAAAAGTCTTTTGTTTCTCGTACCATCACTCGTTACCGTGATACTGATAGCGTAGCCCGACGTCAAGGAAGTGGACGGAAGAAACAGAAAAGTAAAGAAGCGTCTTGATCGAAATCCGCGTCGCAGTGGCCGAAAAATGGCTCTTGAGTTGAACATATCGCAATATTTAATTCGGCAATTATTGAAAAATGAGCTCGTGGTAAAGCAATTGACATTCCAAAAAGTATAAAAACTTACACCGCAACAGAATGAAAATAGACTCAAAAGGTTTTCTTCGATGAGAAAACATTCCAGCAGTTTGTAAACAAACAAAATGATCGTGTTTACTTGCCAAAGGATCGTGTTTACTTCGGTTGGCCACCAGAACTCAAGCGCCGGCCATGGTGATGGTGTGGGCCGCCATAAAAGCTAGGGTCGCTCTCCGCTCGTATTAATCGACTGTCGCATTAGAATAAATGCCGAATATTATGTCGAAAATATTTTGGAGAGTGTATAAAAGCCTTGGGCACGCAAATATTTTGGCCGCAGACCACGCGCCACCTAAGAATGGTTACAAAATGAGGTTCCTCGCTTCATTTCTAGCACATAATGGCCACCAAAATCTCCGGATACCAATCCGTTGGACTATTGTGTCTGGAGTATTTTGGTAGGCAAGGTTGGCACTAAAAAATACCACAGTGTCGATCATCTGAAGCTGGCGCTTCGTCGGGAATGAGCCAAACTACCGCAGAGCAACATTCGGACAGCGTGTGACGGTTTCATTGGCCATTTGAAGGCCATAATTCGTGCCAAAGGTGACCAATTCGAATAAATCAAAACTTATTCTAAAATTCGATGATATTTCCGACATTTTTGCTTTTAGTCAATAAAGTTTAAAAAAATTTAAAAATTATGGCGTTTGACTTTGTTGCAGTGTTTTCATCTCACCCTGTTGGTACTTTTGAGGATTTCTATAAAATCACTTTCTGAGTCGTTTTAGGCATGTCAGTCCGTCTGTCCATTCATGCATTCTTGTGTGTCATTTATTATCCAATTGAAATGAAAATTTTCAAACAATGTTTGTTTGGCCCAATGACGAACCCTATTGAAATTTGTGAGAATCGGTTCAAATTTAGATATAGCTCCCATATATATCTTCAACCGATTTCGGATTAAATGTGCACCACATTTTTACACATTCATCTGAATTCAGTCTAGAAACAAGTACATCAAATTTGGTGAATATCGGTTCAGATATATATATATATATATAACTCCCATTTATGTGTTTCATTCGATCTGGGGTTTTAAGTCCCTCACATGTGTAATATGCACCCAACAACAAGGATCAGTCATATCATGCTCTATATAGCATTGTTATTAGGTTTATAGTTGGTATGATCTACTTCACAAAAATTCCCACTATAAACTTTTTTGTTTGGTGAGCTCTACTAAATACGCATAGTGGTGTAGGAATTTTGACCTTTTTTTTTCCCGTTTTTTACAAAAAAGTAAAAGTAAAAGTTACAAACAATTTTTAAAGGAATGTGTACTTGGCATAAAAAGTCGATGTTAAAGGTTTAACATTTTTTAAAAATAAAATTTCCAATGCTCTAGATTCCACAAGTCTTCACTTACATTTTACATTTGTCAAGCCAATGGTTAACTGTTGCCGTAACGACAGTCGTATAAAACCTGACATAAGCAAAATAATAAATTCCATACATGCACCCCTCCCCCCACTCACCCCTTGCTTGTTTGCTCTGCCGCACAATGCTTCCTACAACAACTACTAGAACATCATCACCAACATCAACAACAACAAACGAGCTATATCCTTTTCATGTTTTCTACTATAATTTCTGTCATTTGTTCACGTTACAGATACACGATACGTGATCAGATACTTGACGACGGAATGGTATCTGAATTAGGAATTACCCATACCTATCGCCAGGATACCGGCATCTATGTGTGTCATGCAACGAATACCTTTGGAGAGGTAAGTACAACAAATGAAAAAAAAAAAAAAAAACAGAAAAATAGAATAAAACACAATTCATGCATACTTACTTACTTTCACGTACGTACATATATACATATCTACATTTATACGCAGTTCGGCATGCCATGACATACCATTTTCCTCAAATTCCATATTTATGTCTGTTCCATAAGCTTAGAATGGATAACGACGCCTTGCATATTTTACTATTACCATTGTGGTCCATGCCATGTGCACAATTATTCCAACTGTCATAATGATGGAAGTTAAATTTCGGATTATGCAAAATATGTACACACTGGCATACATATGTATGTGGATGTGGGTATGGAGTGGTGGTTATGCGGCGAGAACGAATTGCAAAAAATCTGTAAGAAAAATTGAATTGTGTGACTACCACAAATGGCGGGTCATTGACAATCTAGGTTGACAGCTTTCATAAGGGATAAATACATACATACATAAATAAGTAAATAGATATGTGCAATTGATTTATGCTGCAATAATTCTCAGTTTATGTATCTGCAAGTGTCACTCATCAAATGAGTGAATGTTTTAAAAGTGTTTCAAAATGACTCCTCTTTGCGCAAAAAATATAATATGATACAACAAAATTGAGGTTCTATAGGATGTATAATATTTGAAGCATGAATAAATTAAAGGACTGTGACAACATATCCACTTCAATCATAGATAGATTGAAGAATATCTGGCATTGATTTCACCAAAAATGGTATGTTCACCTTTTTTTCATGCAACGGCACCACTCAATTATTAGGTCAAAGTTTTGCAATTGATTGGAATATAATTTTGAACTCATAATACGTAACTGTTAGAAGAACTTAAACCGAGTTATTTAGTTTTCTTCACCTCATGCTTGAGGATTGTTCAAACTTCAAAAGAAAGAACGCTCTGCCAAATGATAAGTTATTCACTCACCGAAATATTTTCAATTTAATTTCAATTTTTTATACCCTAGGCCATAGGGGTATAAGAGGGTATATATTCAGGGCTGTCATAGAAACTAATTTTGTCACTATTGGTTTTAAAAACGACAAGAAAAAATGCTATCGGTTTTATTTTCGAATTAGAATTTTATCATTTTTGGTTGTCATTGAAGCCAATGTTATTGGTTTTGTTATTGGAAATAAACCAAGTTGCTTAGAGCTGTCACTTTTTATTTGCTTTGGATTTTTTAAACAATTTTTTAAGGATATTCAAAGGACTATAGACGTGGATTTTTTGAAGAATTTTTAAAGGACTATAAACGTGGATTTTTTTAAAGAATTTTTAAAGGACTATAAACGTGGATTTTTTAAAGAATTTTTAAAGGACTATAAACGTGGATTTTTTTAAAAAATTTTTAGAGGACTATAAACGTGGATTTTTTAAAGAATTTTTAAAGGACTATAAACGTGGATTTTTTTAAAGAATTTTTAAAGGACTATAAATTTGGATTTTTTTAAAGAATTTTTAAAGGACTATAAATGTGGATTTTTTTTAAAGAATTTTTAAAGGACTATAAACGTGGATTTTTTTAAAAAAATTTTAAAGGACTATAAACGTGGATTTTTTTAAAAAAAATTTAAAGGACTATAAACGTGGATTTTTTTTAAAGAATTTTTAAAGGACTATAAACGTGGATTTTTTTAAAGAATTTTTAAAGGACTATAAACGTGGATTTTTTTAAAAAAAATTTAAAGGACTATAAACGTGGATTTTTTTTAAAGAATTTTTGAAGGACTATAAACGTGGATTTTTTTAAAGAATTTTTAAAGGACTATAAACGTGGATTTTTTTAAAGAATTTTTAAAGGACTATAAACGTGGATTTTTTTTAAAGAATTTTTAAAGGACTATAAACGTGGATTTTTTTAAAGAATTTTTAAAGGACTATAAACGTGGATTTTTTTAAAGAATTTTTAAAGGACTATAAACGTGGATTTTTTTAAAGAATTTTTAAAGGACTATAAACGTCGATTTTTTAAAGAATTTTTAAAGGATATTTAAAGGACTATAAACGTCGATTTTTTAAAGAATTTTTAAAGGATATTTAAAGGACTATAAACGTCGATTTTTTAAAGAATTTTTAAAGGATATTTAAAGGACTATAAACGTCGATTTTTTAAAGAATTTTTAAAGGACTAAAAACGTGGATTTTTTTAAAGAATTTTTAAAGGACTAAAAACGTGGATTTTTTTAAAGAATTTTTAAAGGACTAAAAACGTGGATTTTTAAAGAATTTTTAAAGGACTAAAAACGTGGATTTTTTAAAGAATTTTTAAAGGACTAAAAACGTGGATTTTTTAAAGCATTTTTAAAGGACTAAAAACGTGGATTTTTTAAAGAATTTTTAAAGGACTAAAAACGTGGATTTTTTAAAGAATTTTTAAAGGACTATAAACGTCGATTTTTTAAAGAATTTTTAAAGGACTATAAACGTCGATTTTTTAAAGAATTTTTAAAGGATATTTAAAGGACCATAAACGTGGATTTTTTAAGGAATTTTTAAAGGATATTTAAAGGACTGTAAACGTCGATTTTTTAAAGAATTTTTAAAGGATATTTAAAGGACCATAAACGTGGATTTTTTAAGGAATTTTTAAAGGATATTTAAAGGACTATAAACGTCGATTTTTTAAAGAATTTTTAAAGGATATTTAAAGGACCATAAACGTGGATTTTTTAAGGAATTTTTAAAGGATATTTAAAGGACTATAAACGTCGATTTTTTAAAGAATTTTTAAAGGATATTTAAAGGACCATAAACGTGGATTTTTAAGGAATTTTTAAAGGATATTTAAAGGACTATAAACGTCGATTTTTTAAAGAATTTTTAAAGGATATTTAAAGGACCATAAACGTGGATTTTTTAAGGAATTTTTAAAGGATATTTAATGGACTATAAACGTCGATTTTTAAAGAATTTTTAAAGGACTAAATACGTGTTTTTTTTTAAAAAAATTTTTAAAGGACTAAAAACGTGGATTTTTTTAAAGAATTTTTAAAGGGCTAAAAACGTGGATTTTTAAAGAATTTTTAAAGGACCATAAACCATAAATCTGCAATGCAGCTTTATAAGTAAGTTCACAAAAAAAAAAATACTTATGCTATCTCCGGCAACTCCAGTGGGTCTGAAATCTCTAAGAGCTTTTCTCGTCACCTTTTCTGAGCGTTCTTCGTCCAACAACACAAAAACTACCACTGCTGATGTCATCTTATTTTATTTATAGCGACTTATTCCTTTTTTTATTTACTTTTTACTTTACTGATATTTCAATGACAAACAAACAAACAACACATGTAAGCAACAACAGCTGTTTCGAACATTGGTTTTATTTACATTCGAAATTGACAAAACCAACTTGGTTTCATGACGCCAAATGAAACCAACATTGGTTTACAAAAACGACAATAAGCAAAACCGACATGATTTCTGTGACAGCCCTGATTATTTGATACTGCCAAAACGTGCCTCATTGAAACTCATCAAATTTAGACCCTAGGTCTCGTTGACCAAATCCGTTTCAGGCTATTTAGTGTTGACGGAGGGTGACGCTTCGTCTGTACGTCCGGCTGGTAATATTATTATCAAACTTATATCAAGTTCGGAGTCAGCCATACTCATGGGCATCGCTAGATCGACTCCAAATGTCCTGACAGTCCAAAGAGACCAGGGGTCTAAAACCGGGACGTTTTGACCGTATTAAATAATATATACCTTTTCTAGCCACATGTCTTTGAAGTAATGACTGAAGTGATCAGTGTAGGCCCAGATATTTGATTAGGCACTCTCATTTGGGTGATTTTATGTCTTACTTCCACAAAATGGAAATTCAAAATTGTCTAAGAGATTTAAGTCTTTCTGTTCATTCTAAGTTGACCACATTTGACCACCCCCAGAGGTCATATTTAATCCAAATATGTTTTTATAATCATTGAAAACTTACTTCAGTTCTTCAACATCATGGTCTGGTGGTCTGTTAAAATTGCTACAACAATGTCCATCCAACATCCACGACAATAATGAAAACCCTTCATTCTCCTTCGATCATTTGTTTGTTTTTCGAGACTTTGTTTATTTTTCCCAAAAATGTACAGTGACATGACAAATCTGCCAGATATTTCGTTCAATCCATTAAATGACGACATGGAGTGAAGCAATATTGTTGTTTCCGTTTTTTTTTTTTTCTTTTCAATTTCCATTCCATTTTAATAACAACAATAATTGTAATAACGAAGATGATGATGATGTTGATGAAGGGGGGGGGGGATATTCGTTATTGAAATCGAATGTCACCCTCAACTGTCGTTTAATGTTTTCTTTTCATTATTATTCTTCATCTCCTTCATCTTCTGTTTTTTTTTTTTTCGTTTCTTGTTCGCAGGATGAAATGACGATACAATTAATTGTACAGGAAGTTCCCGAACAACCTAAAAATTTGCGCATTAATTCGCAGCAGTCACGAAGTCTACAGCTGACATGGAGTCAACCGTTCGCTGGCAACAGTCCAATCGAGGAATATCACATCTTCTATAAACAAATATCGGGTAAGTAGCTGAATACATCCATTAAGTCCTTCCTTCCACCTACTTGACATTATAGTTATTTACATACATACACATGTGTATGTGTGTAAGTATGTAATGTATGGATGTTGTGTATGTTACATTTCACCGAATCGCTGATGCCAGTTGTATTTTAATTTGCTCCAAATTGAAAGATGTAAATCGGCATAAGTGCTGATGCCAATCTACGTTCGATTAATTAATGCATATTTCTCCTCTCTTTATCGATTACATACAACGTGATTGTATATCGGTATGGCGCACTTAAGATATATTTTTATCCATTATATTTTAATAAAAATTACATATATCATGTAAATGATTGCAGGCATGTGCATGAAAGGCATAATGGGAAATGGAAATATATTTTTGAAGTGGACAGTAAAAACCAGTAAAGAAAGTCCTAAAGTCGGGCGGGCCGATTTTATGATACCCTACACAACTTTGCTAATTTAGTTGAGCTCCACTTAATAATTAAAAGTTTTTATGGGAGAATTCAATCATACACGCTATGATTATAATTATAATTTAAAATTCAAAGGATTAAATATGCCGAAGCATTTGTATCTTTTAAATTCGGACTTGTATTGCCCATTTGGTGCGAAATTAATTTGAAATCGGATAAAAATATATATGGGAACTATATCCAAATCTGAAACGATCTCGATAAAATTTGGCAAAGATATTTCTGAGCTGTATTTGATATATTTCCCTGAATATCGTTGTTACGGAGTGCATATTACGGCTGTGGGTAACAAATACAATAAATCGGATGAACAATATATATGGGAGCCGTACCTATATCTGAACCGATCTTCACCAAATTTAGCGTACTACCTTCTAGACTAAATTCGGTCGTATGTGCCAAATTCCATCCCATTTGGACAAATATTAGACGTTTGGTGCACAATAAATGGCAAATCGGACGAAGTTATATATGGGAGCTATATCCAAATCTGAACCGATAGTATATATATATATATATATATATATATATATATATATATATATATATATATATATATATATATATATATATATATATATGGGTTTTGGGAAGTTCAATCTTTAAGGTTACGAACAATACTAAAATGGTACCATTCGGTATTATATGAATGGATAGAGCTTAAAGCTTCGAACTTGGTATGAGATTCAAGGTTGGAAATTAAGATTGGTATATTAAGCTGGTTTTGGAAATTTGTACTATGTGTGCGAACTTTTCTAGATTATAGTACAATTGGAATTATTTGGTTTAGGCTAAACGAAGACGTGAACCTGCACAGACAATTTTCTGTCTTAGGCGGTAGTACCCGTTACGAGTTCAAATACCAAATTTGAAACAATTCCGGTGAATAATGTCTCCAAAATAATCAAAATACCGAATATCGGGAGGTTCCGTTATATGGGGACTATATGAAAACGTGGACCTACATGACCCATTTACGAACTTAACTTGCCCACTGGCAAAATAAACATGCATGCAAAATTGTAGCCTTCTATCTAAATTCTTTCGAAAGATAGCGTGATTACAACAGACAGGCGGACATCGCTAAATCGACTTAGAATTTTACGCTGATCAAGAATATATATACTTTGTCTGACATGAGTATTTCGGGGAGTTACAAACGGAATGACAAAGTTTATATACCCTCCATAGTATGGTGGTGGGTATAAAAATGGTTTCGTATATGTGTACTACAACTGCACGGATAGTACTAAGTAGTACATTTATGATACAATTTGGTATTGGGCGAACATAAATCTGAAATCTTGTATTAAGGTCGATGTTCATCTGTAGCCTGAACATAGGTGGTAGTTTCGGAAATGTGTACTATAATTGTACGAATAGTACTGGATTTTGGGTGTTGGGTGAATGGGTAGGGATAAAATTCTGAAATTTGTTAATTAGATTACAGTATCTGTGTACCTGTGTTTGAGATTTGGGGGTGGTTTGGAAATGCGCACGAATTACGAAAACTCCGAAAATACTAAATTTGGTATTGGGTGAAGGAATTTTTGGATATTCGTACTTTATAGGTGCGAAAAGTACTAAAAGGTTAAACGTTGTTATTGCACGAGGGTAAATCTTACGTCTGTAAGGTAAAGCAATCATGGATTTTTTGAAATATATACTTCAAGGGAACAAAAAGGTACAAATCTGTACAACATTGTTACTAAACAATCCAATCGACAATCGACTTAGAATTTTATGTTAATTATAATATATATACCTTATGGGGTCTACGACAAATATTTAGGTATGTTACAAACGGAATGACAAAGTTAATATACCTTCCTTTCCAAGGTAGAGGGAATACAAATTATGATAAGGCAGGGGTTTTAGAAACCCTTACTTCAAGCGTACTAAATATATTATTTGGTACAAAATGGTTTTTGGGTGATTGAAAAGAAATTTTCGAAATTTTTCATGAGAGCCACTCTTGGTGAGTAGGTATGAGGCAGATTTTTTTAAACCCTCAGTCATATGGCTACATAAGGTATATATAATTTAAGACGACCAAAACGTGCCTAAGCGAAACAAAGGTTTTCTACCATAGATCTCATTGGACCAAATCCGTTTCAGCACATTTGAAGTATCCGCATTTATGCCTGGCTGGTGCGGACGATATTTCTCATCTGATTTGGTCCAAACTTGATACATCCTAGTGTTATCACCAAACATAAACCCAAGTCGGAAATGTCTAATATAAGTTTACTTCTTCTGGTACCTCTCCACGAAAGGCCAATATTTTCACCAAAAAATGATCTACCTTATAGAACATGAAGGGATCATCGGATTTCTTTCAAACTTTGACAAGTCAGATGTGAATATGGACAATATGAAGTACCTCCTCTCCAACGGGCCAAAATTTTGAATAATTATAAATCTCATAAGATGCGAAATAAGAGTCCGATTGCCTTAAAATTTCACACATCCCAATATTTTAATTAACACAAAATCATTAATGAATATGAAATATATAAGACCACTCCTTTCGGTACCTCCCCCACAAATGGTCAATATTTTGAATAATCAGAACGCTTATAAATACAAATTAATCATTCGTTTTCCTACAGATTTCACATATTTTAATATTTTTATAAACACATATTCAGACCACTTCTTCTGGATCCTCCCACACCACGGATCAAAATATTGAATTATTAAATCTCTCATCAAATGGAAGTTAAGCATCTGATTGTCTTCAAATTTCGCAAATCCCAACATTTTTAAAAACACAACATCTGGTGTGAGCATGCGACATATTGGTCCAATTCTTTTGGTTCGCATAAAGCTTATAAAACGCGAAATGGGTATCTAATTCCAATATTTCTATCAACACAAGATTAAATGTGAAGATGGAATATAACGTACCACTCCTTTTGGTATCTCCCCCACATCGGCCAAAATTTTGAATAATTATGACTCTTACAAAATGCGAAATTAACTTCCGATCTTCTTCAAATTTGATAGATCGCTATATTTTTATTAACACAAGACCCCCACAAAAGGTCAAAATTTTAAATACTCATACCTTAAATACTCATTTTGATTATCATTTTTTAGCATACAATTGGAAATAAATGTTCGATTTCCTTTAAATTTTGCACATCCCAATATTTTTATCAGTATTAAATGAAGTTGGAACACTTCGGTCCTCTATATCTGGTACCTAATGCATATTTCAACATTTTCGAAGAATTATATTATGCCTTATATTTCAAAAATTTCCACATATCTTAAGTGCATTAGAAGTCGTTGTAAAACTTATAATTAACGGGCATTGGCTGAGATTATACATGTATATGTCGGCAGAACCGACTTATACTTTTTATACACTTACCCACATGGCTACAGAGAGTATATATCATTTGATACGGTCAAAACGAGCTTCATCGAAATAACAGTGTTATACCCTAGGTCTCTTTGGACCAAATCCGTTTCAGGACATTTGGAATCGATTTAGCGATGTCCGTCCGTCTGGCTGGTGCGCACGATAACTCTCGAAGGAAGTATCCGATTTGATCCAAACTTTTTTTATTGTGCAGAAAGAGAAAGAATAATCCGATTTTGTAAATCGTAATATTTGCATCAGTGATGGGTTAGGAGCGCAAATGGACAATGTCGGCCCACTCCATCAAGTACCTCCCCCTTAAAGGGTCAACATTTTCGATAATTTCAACTTTTATAAAATGTGATGTATGAGTCCGATTGTCTTCAAATTACACACATCACAATGATTTATCAACCCAAGGTCTGCTGTGAAGATGGAGTATATCGCTCCACTCCTTGTGGTACCTCCCCCACAAAGGGTCAAAATTTTGAATATTCATGAAGCTCATAAAACGCGATTTTAACATCAGATTCTATTCAGAGTCGGCATTTCCATCAACATAAGATCTGCTACAAATATGCTAGAGTTCGTTGCGTCCCCCACATAGGGTTGAAGATATTGAAATACAAAGCGTTCAAAAAACCGACATAAGTATCCTCTTCAAATTTCACACATACAAACATATTTGCTAACACAAAATCTTTTGTGAAGATGGTATATATCTGCAAAATCCTTCTGGTACCTCAATACTATTATCCGTCAAATCTTGCGAAACAAATTAGCGGTTTTTCTAAAAATTATTACATATCTTATATAAAATAGAGAAAATAACAAATATAGCCCAAACTTGGCACGTCACAATATTTATGTCATTTTTATTTAGGTCCGATACGAAATGAACAATGTTGGCTCATTTCTTCGGAGGGTCAACAATTTTAATAATCATAACAGAAGTCATAATATATTAAAATAATCGAACATTGGCTGAGAGTATACATTTTGGCGACAAAACCGACTGATACTTTTTAACTTGTTTTTTTGAAAATTTCCAAATTCTTTCCAAATGGTCGAGAGTATTCAACGAACTTACTGTTTTTTCACTTGTTGGGAAATGGGATTTTTCTAGGTTGTTGCAGGGTATTTCAATATCTTGTATAATGTATTCGGAAAAGTCCATTTGGGTTTATTATCTAATCTTTTCACTATCTAAATGAAGGGGATATCCAAATTCGACCCCACCGAACTTAATGGGCTCATTTAAATGTTTTGTGTGTGCTTGTATATTCTAATAATCAATATGATTATGACCTAATAAATATATGCTTGTTCTCATCAAAACAAATGTTATGATTCTCGTCTATGATAGCCATATATAGTCTCATGTGTAGAACCTAATTAAAAACATAAATCATATTGATCTACATATTTATAATCGAACATTTCTACAATTTTAATTAACATATTTCAATGGATAACATGAACACACAACCAAACACCATAACTATGCAACATTTGCGGTTCACTATTTTGGAGCAGGAGGATTTCATTGCTATTATTTTATTGCAATTGTCTGTAACCTTGTCTTAACATTCCCCCTTCTCTCTTTCTCTCCCTTTAGACATTTGGCAAAATGCCGAACATATCACCATTACTGGCTCTCAAACCGTAGTCAACATTGCCAATTTGAAACCGGCCAAAGCATATCACATACGTATGTCAGCAGAAAATAAATTAGGTTCATCAGAATTCTCTGAAGTAGTACAGGTAACAACACTGGAGGAAGTGCCCTCAGCCCCACCGCTCAACCTAAGGGCCGAGGCAAAAAGCTCCACCGAGATTAGTGTCGTCTGGGATGCACCGGAACGCGACCATTGGAATGGAATTTTGTTGGGCTACTATGTGGGCTATCAGATGTCGTTGATGCCCGAGGCCTTGGAAATCAATCCCACAATGGGTTTTAGTTTCAAAACGGTAGAGGTGCGATCCCACTATGGCGGTGAGACAGTTTTAAGTAATCTCAACAAATATACGGAATATCACATAATCGTACAAGCCTACACGAGCCAAGGCAGTGGTCCACCCACCAAGGAAGTAACAGTACAGACACTGGAGGATGGTAAGTCAGTCAGTGGCATTGATGTTTGTAACAGGAAATTAACTCATTTCAACTTTGTCTGCCCTGACGAGTTGTGAGTGTGGTTGGATGTGTTGGTGCCTGCCAACACAGACAGCCAGCTACTTCATTGGCTCGAACATAAGTTGGCATTGGCATGAATACATTTTAACATTTAACTCTAAAATTTGATTTGTTTAATCGTCTGCATTACAGTTCCCTCCTCACCGCCGGAGAGTCCCCAGTGCGACGTCTTGAGTTCCACATCAATTTATGTAACATGGTCACCGCCCGACATTGATGGTCAAAATGGCAAAATTAAAGGCTATAAAATATTTTACATATCATCCGAAGACTTGTATGGTAAGTAGTCATTTGGAATATTTAAAATAAATTTTTGAATTTTCAGGCACTTGACATTCCCTCCGCTTCACCTGCCAAAGGCAACTGGGCATCGGATAGGAAATAATTCAATTCAAAAATTTAATATGCTGCTGACGAAAATACCATTTAAACCACAAAATTCTTAAGAGCGAATTCGAAATCTAAAATTTAATGAAATATATCTATTTTTAATATCTTCAATAGACCATTGGAATGATGGCAAATTGAAAACATAATTAAATTCTATTTTCAATTGGAAAAATTGGAAATTTGTTGTCTGCCAAACAAAAACCACTAAAATTCAATTGGGAATTGATGTACTATTAAAATGTGAAAAATATGTGGGAGAAATTGAAGCTACGGAATCAATTTAAAATACATAATTAAAATTAAACCATTAAAGAAAGTCCTAAAGTCGGACGGGGCCGACTTTATGATACCCTATACCACTTTGCTAATTTAGTAGAGGTCCACATATCAATTAAAAGTTTATATGGGAGAATTCAATCATACACGCTATAATTATAATTATAATTTAATTATAATCATGTGGGTAACAAACACAACAAATCGGATGAACAATATATATGGGAGCTATAGCTATATCTGAACCGATCCTCACCCAATTTGGCATGCCAGCTTCTAGAGTCAATTCAATCGCATGTGCCAAATTCCATCCTATTTGGGCAAATATTAAACGTTTGGTGTACAATAAAAAGTAAATCGGACGAAGTTATATATGTGAGATATATGTGTAAATTTTTACCGATTATCTCCAATTTCAATAGGGTTCGTCCTTGGGCCAAACAAATGTTGTTTGGAAAATTTCATCTCAATCGAATAATAAATGCGACCTGCATTTTGTTCATAAGAATACATGGACAGACGTACGGACGGACAGACGGACTGACATGCATAAATAAACTCAGAATGTGATTCTATGAAGATCCTCAAAAGTAACTATGGGTCTATCTCTCTTCCTTCTCCATGTGTTTGTAACATGCACAAAGACATAATACCCTTACCACTATGTGGTGAAGGGTATAGCAACTAATTGAAAATATATATTTATACCCTACACCACATAGTGGTAAGGGTATTATGTCTTTGTGCATTTGTTTGTAACATGGAGAAGGAAACGAGATAGACCCATAGTTACCTTTGAGAACCTTCATAGAATCACTTTCTGAGTCGATTTATGCATGTCAGTCCGTCTGTCCGTCCGTCCGTCTGTCCATGTATTCTTGTGAACAAAATGCAGGTCGCATTTATTATCCGATTGAGATGAAATTTTCCGAACAATATTTTTTTGGCCCAAGGACGAACCCTATTGAAATTGGTGAGAATCGGATCAAATTTAGATATAGCTCCCATATATACCTTCATCCGATTTCGGGTTAAATGTTTTTTTTTTTTTTTTTTCTATATATATCTCTTTATTTACAATCTGTCTTTTAAAGACAATAAGCAAATTTGATGAATTACAAAAATAACAGGAATTATGTAACTACAATAAGATACATAATTATTAAATACATTCGCATGGTAATGAGAAGATAATCTGGTTATCTGTTAGATTCTAATACTTATCTATCTATCAAATATCTGTTAAAATCAAATACTTAAATCTAATACGTGTTTCCTTTTAAGTCTTCTTATTTCATTCGGGTTTATCATTAACGATTTTACTAAAGGATTCGGATGAACTCGCAACCTTTCTGTGTAATTGCTGCTTAGTCGTTTTATTTCTTCTTCAACTGAGGGTAGTTTGAGGTCTCTGGAAATTATGGTGTTTTTAACAAACCATGGAGCGTTAGTTATGAGCCTTAGCAACTTTGACTGGAATCTTTGGATGATATTAATGTTTGACTTACAAGATGTACCCCATAATTGGATTCCGTACGTCCACACTGGTTTAAGGATAGCTTTATAAACACGTAACTTATTGTTAAGGTTTAGTTTGGACTTTGGACCTAATAGCCAGTAAAGCTTACGACTTTTGATTTTTAATGCTGTGTGTTTAGCACTTATATGTGGTTTCCAGGTTAGTCGACGATCTAACAACATACCCAAGTACTTCACTGTATCTTTCCTGGGAATTACCTCGTTGTTAATATTTACTGACGAACATTCCCCTCTTCGTAGAGAAAAAGTTATATGGCTTGACTTTTCAGAATTTATTTTAATGTTCCATCTTTTGAACCACTTGTCAAGAACATTTAGTTCATTTTGTATGGCTGCGGATGCTAGTTCTGGGTAATCGTTTGCAGCAATGATAGCTGTGTCATCCGCGTAGGTAGCTAGTGTCACACTCAGATTTATCGGCATGTCCGCAGTGTATAACGTGTATAAAATTGGTCCAAGAACACTGCCCTGTGGAATACCTGCTTTGATTTCAATTAAAGGTGATCGTTCATCTTTGACTTTAACGTATGCGATTCTTTCGCTAAGATAACTTTTAAAAAAGAGGTAAAATGGGGCAGGCAGTAGTTTTTTTATTTTGTGCAGCAGACCTAAATGCCACACGCGATCGAATGCTTGCTGTACGTCAAGAAATACAGCGGAACAGAATTGTTTTCGTTCGAACGAGTTAATAATAGTGTTAACTATCCGATGGCATTGTTCGGGAGTACCATGTTTTAATCTGAAACCAAACTGGTGGTTAGGAATTATGTTTTTGCTCTCCAATACTGGTAGTAGTCTATTTACAAAAATTTTTTCGAATATTTTCGAAAAGATTGGCAATAATGATATGGGTCTATATGAAGAAACATTATTTTCCGGTTTCCCAGTTTTCAAAATCATTATAACCTCTGCCATTTTCCATTTAACCGGAAAATAATCCAGTCTAAGTATCGAGTTATAAACATTTGTCAAATATAGTATACTTTTCCATGTAAGGCTTTTTGCCACTTTAGCGTCAATTAGGTCGTGTCCTGGAGATTTGCCTTTGTTTAAATTTTTGATCTCATTTGCCACTTCTTTTGGGGATATGTGTTTCAAAGGGCGATCCATTTGACAGGCCGAATCCAAGAATTCAAGGGTTTCATCGTAATCTGCCTGGGTGACAAAATTAAAGGGATGAAATATTCCCTGAAGATGAACACCAAATGCATCTGCAATACTTTTGTTGGATTTACACCACGTACCATTTGTATTTCTTATAACTGTATTCCTTTTTACAGGTCTTTTTAAAAATTTGGTAGCTTTCCATAATAAGTGTTCATCATACTTGGATTTGGATTTCAGCTGAAATTTGCAAATTATTTCGCCGTGTGTTTGAAGTGGGTGGTGTTGCTAAAGAAGCAGCATCTTGAATGGTTTTTGTGAGATGCTCTACAGCGCCGTCTATTTCATTTTTCGTTTTTAGGCTAACATTCAAATTCAGGTTGGCATCAATTAGTGTTTTAAATGTATCGAGGTCAGTTTCTGTTCTTAAAAGTCGGTTATTTGTTACTACTTCAGTAACAGAAGTAGAAACATTTAACAATAACGGTCGTGTCCTGGAGATTTGCCTTTGTTTAAATTTTTGATCTCATTTGCCACTTCTTTTGGGGATATGTGTTTCAAAGGGCGATCCATTTGACAGGCCGAATCCAAGAATTCAAGGGTTTCATCGTAATCTGCCTGGGTGACAAAATTAAAGGGATGAAATATTCCCTGAAGATGAACACCAAATGCATCTGCAATACTTTTGTTGGATTTACACCACGTACCATTTGTATTTCTTATAACTGTATTCCTTTTTACAGGTCTTTTTAAAAATTTGGTAGCTTTCCATAATAAGTGTTCATCATACTTGGAACAGTTGATTCTTTCCAGAAACGCAGCTGTGGAGTCATTTCTTAAATCATAAAGCATATTTTTCAAATATTTGCAACATCTATTGTACAATGTACGGTCGGAAGGATGTCTACTAATTTGCCATCTTTTTCTCAGTCTTCTTTTTTCAATAATGGTTTGTCTGATTTCAGCTGAAATTTGCAAATTATTTCGCCGTGTGTTTGAAGTGGGTGGTGTTGCTAAAGAAGCAGCATCTTGAATGGTTTTTGTGAGATGCTCTACAGCGCCGTCTATTTCATTTTTCGTTTTTAGGCTAACATTCAAATTCAGGTTGGCATCAATTAGTGTTTTAAATGTATCGAGGTCAGTTTCTGTTCTTAAAAGTCGGTTATTTGTTACTACTTCAGTAACAGAAGTAGAAACATTTAACAATAACGGAGTATGATCCGAACTCAAGTCGTCCATACTAATTATATCTAATTTATTCCTCGAGATTCCTTGGTAGATAACAAAATCTAATAGATCGGGTACTTTTGATGGATCTGATGGCCAGTATGTTGGTGATCCGGATGATAACACGGACAAGTTTTTGTTTTTTAAACACTTGTATAACTCTCTTCCTTTAGGATTAATCAATCTTGAACCCCACCACGGATGTTTGGCGTTGAAATCACCTCCAGCTATGAATTTATTTCCAAGTTTATTAAAGAAGTCGTTATATTGTTCGTTCACCACATGATAGCGAGATGGAAAGTATAGAGAAGAAACTATTACATCGCCATAGTTAGACTTGATTTTAATACACGTTGCTTGAACATAGTTTTCTTGAATTTCCTCTAGTATCTCGTATTTAATGGAACTTCTCACAAGGATACAAGATCCCCCATGAGCTCGATTGTCAGGATGGTTAGTTTTAACGAGATCATATCCCCTTATATGGAAGTGAGTACGACTGGTGAAATGAGTTTCAGACACCAGAAATATGTCAACATAATTTACTTTAAGGAAGTTATCAACTTCCAATGTATGGTTAGGAAGCCCATTGGCGTTCCATATAGCAATTCTTAAATTTAATTGCATAACTTAGAAATTAATAGAGACATCATATTTAAAAGTGTGTTGGTAAGCTCGATTTGTTTATTTAATAGCTCTTCGATTTTGGCAAAATTAGATGACTGATTTTGATTATTATTTTT